CTCTTAAAATGCTGTGGTAGGCTATCAAATAAGCAGTATGAGATGTTTAACACTGCCTGACACTCTGAGATCCTTTGGCATTTTATCTAGCTGCAAGGGACAAGAATCTTAACCAAAGGCCCAGTTCTCTCCCTGGGAGTGCAGAACTGCCTATTCACTTACTCCATAACCCCAACACTCTCCACTTTGTGGCTAGGTGATCAATGCAGAGTGCAGACTAATCTCTCCTCTCCTTTTATCCATGAGATTTCCTCTCCCCCACTGCGCAGCCACTGTGGAGGAAAGCTCTGAAGAGCAGAGGGGATGAATAACGTTTTGTGAGCATGTTGTGCATGGCTGCGGCCCTGTGTGACACAGGACACTGGGCAAGATGGATCTCTGGTCTGACCCAGTACGTGGCTGGCAATTCTTATGTCCTTATGGTTTCCCCAGTTCCACTCTGGATAGTGGAACCCACTAGTTGTATTGGTTTCTCTGGGGCCCACACATGGTGAAGAAACTTCTGGTCCTGAGTGTTGGCAAAAAGGTCCTTAAAGAGCAGTTTGTTTGCATGCAGAAGAGGAGTTTCCTCTATGAGAGGTCAAGGGAGACATGCATTCAAACAGCAGTCCCTTCTCAGAAGGGACTGATCAGTGGAAAGGGGAGGGGAGGGGGCAAAATCCCACCAAAAACAACAGGCACCATCTGCCATTTACCTTATTCCAACCAGTCTGACAGGGAGTTCCCTCCAGTTCTTGTTTCTCAGGAAGGGACATGGAAAAGCACTGCTGCACAGGACACAGGCACAAAGAACTGCACAGTAGAAAAGAGAATCAAGCATCCTTACCCTTGTTCTGTCCTCAATGTCATAGATGCGAAGCTGCATGGGAATATTAAAGCTATGCAGGATATTTCCACCAAACACCAGAGAATCTACTGGAGTATAAACTGCATGTATCCACCCTAGGGAGGGAAAGCAAAGAACTGAGAATGCCTCAAGCTATGTCAGATCACAAAACACTACAATCAAATTGTCACAACCCTCCAGGAGGATGGAAAATATCACTGTCCCCACTCTACAGCTGGAAAAACTGAGACAATTACAAGGTTAAAGATAACCTCAAGGTCACATATCAAAACTGTGGTATCAGCAGGAAGGGGGAGGGAGAGAGAGATTAATGACATCCACAGAACAGTTAACTATGGGCAGAAGCTAAGCAAACTTATCAGTGTGACTCAACCATGCTCCACAGATGGGAAGGAAATTCAGTCTCTTGGCCTCTCTTTATCCACCACAGCAAGGGCGCAACTCAGGTGAGGAGTGGTGGCAGGTGCGTGGGGTAGCAGTGGACTGATACGCGTCACACTTGTTTTCCACAGGCCCTACAGCCACCAGCGGAGGATAACGATTTCAGGTTGCTGCCCAATGTTATCTAGAGGTGAGAGCTCTGTGCCCCATTCTCAAGGCAAGTGAAATGCATGCCCTGACTTCATGGATTCAAAGTTTCTCTAACTGCAGCTGATGAGACTGCTAGTGGCCTGATCCTGCAAGGAACTGAGTTCCCTGCAGGGACTCCAAGGGGAGGCGAGGATGCTCAGCATCCAAAGAGACAGCATGCAGCAGTTCAGGCAGTGAGACCCCCCCACAAGTTCCTTCCTCTGCAATATCAGCTTGGCACGGCACCCACTGAAGCCTGGGCTACACAGGACCGTGGGCTCTGCTCTCCACTGTGATAAAGGAACTCATCCTGCTGATGATCAGAGACCCATGGAGGCAGCAACATGACATTTTTCTTTTCTTGATAATAAGCATTTCCACCATGTGAAGCCCAGCCATGCAAAGGGCTGCCAGTGTCTTCCTAGCTACACGGTTTCTATTAAGTCTGCATTCACGTCAGGACCAGTGAGGCAGCAGGAAAATGCCACTCAGCCTCAAGGACTCTCCTACTCACAGGTATAAAAGCCTTTCTTTTACCAGTGCCTACAAACCATGCAAACCTCCTGCTTTAAGCAAAGAAAGTCCCTGAGCCACTGACTATGGCAGGGAACTGCTCATGGTGCTTCCACTGAAAAGCATTTGGGAGGAGAGAGGGAGAGAAAATGAAATAAAAAAAAATAGCAAGTTAAAATACTCTTGTGAAGAACACAAAGCCCTCACTCCTGGTACATTTTTGTACCTTTACAAATCTAATTCCACAAGATGAATGTAATGAAGAGAAAATTACAGGCACCCAATGGTTCTGGCAGCTCTGGATATTACAGCGTCTTTCCTACAATAGTCATTTTAATTTCAGTCGCTGAGTTACTCATGACCAACGAGCATGTTTATCACCTCTAAAGCAAACTGGCTTCCTTCCTTTCTCACAGGGGCAGATTCTGCAAGAAATGGATTCCTCAGTTTGGGGCACGTGTGTGTGAAGAAGCACTGAAAAAGCTGGGTGATCCTACAATCCAAGCAACAGACTGGGATGCCACCTCGAACTTTAACGACAGCAACTGGCTACAGGAGATTCTGACACTGGCAGTGGCATTTGGGTGAATACATGCAACACTATAAAGCCACTCTGCAAGCAGATGAGTGCAGTGCATCACGTAAAATACATCAGAGAAACACCCAGATGTACTTTAAAAAAAGGTTGTAAAAGTAAATAATCTTCTTTGCCCTGATCTACATGGAAGTGAGGGATATCCTAACCCAAGCCATGGAGTCTGGGGTTACTGCTCTCACCAGATCAAGGACTTGTGATAGGAGAATAGGCAGTTCGGGTCAGTATCTGCCACCTTCCTAAAGCTGACATGCTGGGTTGAATAAGGTTGTTTGTATCTGGCAATTGAGGGTCAATTGGCTGGGTGGCTGTGGTATAATCTGCCCCATTTTACAGTCTGGGAAAACTGAGGCTCAAAGAAGTAGAAAGATCTGCCCAGTCACAGCAAAGCAGTAGCAGACATGGGACTCTTGGATCCTAGTCCACCCTCTCAGTTCCCTGTCATACTCAGCAGTGAGGCCTCCTCATCACAGAGAACATCCTGCTTCAAGGGATGTAGATACTGGCGACAATTGTGGTAATGAGGGATTTTAGAGAGCTGTCAATCTTCTTTTAAATTTGCTGTCAGAGACTTATGGCTCTAATGTAGAAATTCACTGAGCTGAAACTTGGCTCCATATTCAGCAGCCCAGAGGGTGCTAAACTTCTGGCTCTCAAATTTTATAAGGAGTATAGAAATATTCCATTTTAATTAAAGGAGTACAAAAACACAAGAGTTCTCCCATTTTTGATGCAACCATATACTGCACCTTGCAAGGGGCCTGGCTCACCTAAATTATATCTCCTCAGGGAGAAACCTACAGTGGAGAACTACTAATTGCATTATTACTCCCCTATAGTCTCATCTTATCTCATTTGACCTCTTATCCTCAGCCCCAATAGATGTTAAAGGCCCTTGTATTAATGATCCCCAAACTCACTAGGCAGTTGCCCCTAACATAATTAAGTGACAGCTCCAGACAGGTGACTACTGACTGTTAGGTCAATGCTCCAGTGAACAGCGCCCCAGGCACAACAAATCCTTAATGGAAACATTACTGACAAGACGGTAAACAGTGTTTATTTTCAAGTCAATCATAGGAAAAAGTCAGGAAAATGTGAACTGGTAAGCAGCTCCCCAAATTCTCAGAGGCAGCATCTGCTTTTGTGAGTAAGTTACCTGTCTTATTAACAATATTTGGGCCTGTAGTCTTCAAAAGCAAAATTGGTCCCGCTAAAGGTCTTCTACATATAGCTGGGCTGAAGATGCTAAGGCCAGGTTTAAAATCAGCTTTTTTACAATACCCCCATTTTTGCCTAAAAAGCAAGAAATGGCTGGAGTGCTGGTAACAAGGTTGAAACCACACAGCACTGAAACCCATCACAGCTAGAAAAAAAGTCACAAGGCAGGCGACACTGGGGAAGGTCTGCTGGTAAAATACAACAGACCTGTCAACCCGTAGGGCCGCAGAGCAGCAGCCAGGGTCCATGCTCCCCCCCAGCACTCCCTCTGGGCTCTACAGCGGTGCAAACACATGAAGGAACTACACACTGATAGAAATCTGCGTTCATGGAAATTTGTCTCTCTTCCTGCAGCCAGCTGGCTCCTCTGGCTAAAAGGAGGGGAATAACGCCATGGCCACGCTCCCCTTTTGACCCTCTTCGCTCTTTTCCTACACCTCATGCTTACAAGGAGGAAGAAGAGACTAACTATACTCTCCTCCCACTGGACTCCAGCCAGCCCCTGCGGAGGAAGCAGAAAAGGGAAGTGTGCCCTCCTCTTTCACACGTACCAAGAGAAAGGCCCAACCTGACACCAATGCAGGGCAGCATCTCTCAAATGTACTGCATCCTACACTACTTCAGGCCTGCTTCAGCAATGCCATTATGGAGCTGAAAACAGGACGGAGAGGCAGCTGTGAAGAAATATGTACAAGGGAGAAGAGAAGTTTACCTAGTAAAGATGGAGAACAGACAAGTACTAAGATACAAGAAGAATGTTCCAGGCGGGTAGCATCTGCAGAGACAAAGGCTCCTACACTAACACCGATCAGCCTGTGTACAGGGGAGATAGCGAAGGTCCGTGCTGTGAAAGTAGAAGGAATCAGGTAGACAATACCAAGAGGCAAGCTGTAAACAGGAAACTCTTTTTACAATTCCTGACTCTAGTAATCTGGGGAAATGAGCTCAGAGAACATGCAAGCTCAGCAGATACGTTTGATTCATTCTACAGCTCGGATACCAGCAGGGCTCTGAGACCACTGTGAAGATGCATGTTCTGGGTAACAGTTTGTCCACAAGCACCTGAAGCAGCTTTCTGAGCATCCAAACTCCGATGTGCATCACGCACACAAGGTAGAGTTTAAACAGGAGGACAGTCTTCCTGAGCGGCAGAACATCATAAAGCTGCAAACATGTAACAGGGGCAAAATATGAAGGCAGTGGGGTGGCCTTATCATCTGGTGCCACAAGCCCCTACATTTCTCTTTGTCCTCCCAGGATGTGTGTGTCACCAACATCCTCTGCTGGGTGGACACAGGTGACCCTGACCCTGCACAAGAGACAGAATATCAGAACTGCGCATGTGTTTGAGCCTGCTGACTTCTAATGGCCAGAAATGGTTAGGCAAGCCACAGCACAGGCAGCTCTGAAGTGTGTGTTTAATCAATTCTCTCCTTAGCGGCTGCAGTTTCCTGAGGACAAAAGCTCTGGTACTACTTCACAAGCATGCATGTTGCTTGGGTTGCTGCTACTTATGAGATACTATCTGCCCCTCTGTAACAATCATATAAAAGCAGAGCACACCAAAAAACTTAGCAAAATCCATTTTATCTCTGATGCTACAATAGCATGGAACTAATATGAGAATAAAGGGATTAAGGACTGAAAAATCAAAATAGGGGGAGTAAGTTATAGCTTGGTTTCTGCTGAAAGTTACAAATAAAACCATCTACTAAATACTACAAAGCTGAAACTAGATCCTGTGTGTGCATGCATGCAAGAGAGAGACAGCATGGCTCCAGGCCGGGACTGGTAATGGATGAGAAACCTTTTCCCTCTAGGTCACAGCTCCAGTCTGACCACTGGTGGGACGGTTCCACTTAGGGAGTTGGTCAGATTCAGTCTCATCTGTTCTAGGCAGAACCTGAAGAAGCATCAACAGGCACTAGCAGTCTCAGAAAAAAGGCCAAGCACTGAATGAATGAGTACCTTGAACTGCCCTCTTCATGCCCCTGGAGCTAATTCCTCTAGCTCACAGCTGAGGCACACTGTCAAGGCAACTGTGCACTGCCACCACTTGCACCATTTCCTGTTCGGTAGAGAGAGGATTTCAGACCTTTGCCCTCAACTAAGCACCTCCCATCAGAAACAAGTCAATTAAAAAGAGGAGAGTTTGGATTTTGAAGTATGGACAAGGCTTATTCCCTCTGTGGAACC